AGGACCCATAAAAAACCGCTGGTATTAAGAAATGGTAAAATAAACAATTGAGTATTATAGGTATTGTAGGTCTCCTGAACAGAAACAGAATTTCCGATGAAAAAATATTGATTTTAAAGAATTTTGTAACATTTCGACGAAAAATGTTTTTTTTCACCATATAAAATACATGGAAAGCTTTGAGCGCTATAAATATTTTTTTTTTTGATTTCGAAATAAAAACACCGGGTTATACTTTTTCGATATAGAACACACCTAGGCGGTGAGAGCATTAAAATTCGTACTTTATTTTTCACATGCATTTTTGGACTACCTTAACATACATACAAATATACATATATTGAATATCTTTTCCTATGTTCCATGTCGTTGTCGATGATCTTTGGCGACATAAATGACAAATTGAAGAAGCAATGACGGCCAAATTGACGGTAAAAGTATGGCATTGAAGTGGTGGAGTGAAAAGGAGTAGGCAGCTGGCTAGCAAAGCTACTCATAGGAATAGCCCATTTATGGAAAAAGTCAACATTTATCTGGGAATACATACAATCAGTCAGACGTGCATATGAACAGGGTGATTCAATAAGATTTTTTATATTTCATAAAGTTTTTTTGGTCTATGGCATTTATGTATGAATCGCAGTATCTGTTAAATGCCCATCATGGCTCCTCTGGAAACTTAAGATGCGCATACCAAAATTTCCTATGGCTTTCGGCATAGTTCTATGATTACATTCTTCAGATTTGGAATCATTTCGAGCTTATAGGAATATACCATACTTTTCCTGTAGCCCCAGTGAAAGAAGTGCAATGTTGTCAAATTTCCAGATCTTGGCGAAAATTTGACTTCGTTCTTTCGTGAGATAATGCATCATTGGAACTTCTTTCGGAACAGTGTCATTGTTTAATGCGCTGTGTGGCAAGAGGAACCGTCCACATATTGGCCAAGTCCATGGCATCTAATTCAGGCCATAAAGTTTGTTTTTATGTCACGATCACTTTCACCATAACAGCGTTACCGGCTTAACTTGCGAAGAAGTAAGGTCCGGTAACTCGGCGAGCACAAAAACTACACCCAACCAGTGACTCGTTTTGGGTGCATACTTTTTTCTTGAATTACATGTGGATGTTGTGGCTCATTATTTAGCCAGAGGGCCGGTTATGCTGATCGTAAAAATTACGCAATGCTCGAAGTCCACTCCTTGCTAAACGACTATTTTCATCAAACATTTGGATTGGAATTTTACGCGTTGTTCAACTGAGTATCGCTCCATGACTAAGTTTGCCAAAGCCTGTAGCATCAATTGTTTGAAAGAAATACAAGAAACGAATGCGATATTAACATATCACAAATAACTGCTGTCAAAAATCTGCATCACCGCTAAATCACCCTGTATATATATGTATTTATTTTGCACTATCGCAAATGCACGGTTGAGTACCAACTTGGCTGGAAATTGAAACCCAAAGACACTGCATTTCCTCTCCTGTTTCCTTTTTGATATTCAATATTGTAATTGATTGTAACGCTATCTCCAGCCAAAAAGCATATTTCAAAGCGTTTGTATTTCTTCTTATATTTTCTTACCATTGAAATCTAATAGCTGCAAATTCAATGTGCAAAGTATTCACAGCACCACTGCCTTTAGCCCAAATAATCAATATTCTTACTTTTGCTGATAAAACAAAAACGAAAAAAGTGGCATGCAACTCTGATGCAAATTGGCAAATTAGCACAAATTCGTTACGCGCCATTTATTTCGCAACGATGCTTTAGACACTCATGCGCAGAGTGGCTACTCCAAGCGCCCAAATGGAGCTTCATTTATCGCCACACAAGTAGTGCGCTCACGGGTTTCACGTTCTGTTTTCTGTTTTCTTTTTTTTTGTATATGAAATTTTTATTGAAGCACTTTTCTTATTTGCCTTTTCTTTGTTCCTTGCTTTTTATTTATTGTTGCCCATTTTGGCCTTCATTGTTATTAGTGTTGTTGTCTTAATTAATGCTCCACTTTGTGCGCGTATGTAGCTGTGTGTGTTAAGTTCTTATATATGCAGTCGAAACAATGCAAAAATTGATGCTGGGTAATTTTTCTTATTATTCAAGTGTTCAAAGATTATATGCCAAGCTGCGCGAGTTAGAAGATAAATATTCACCCTGTGGGAAAACGTCGACCTACTATTTAAAAATGTTGCATCGCTTTGTCTTCACCGAAAATATACAGTATATTTTGCTTAGCTGCACATCCCTCTTTGCACGAAAAACTTGTGCACCTAACCGAAAAAGGCACTTAAGCGAATTTTCTTTACTACTTCAATGAGGAAGGTATCCGAATCCCTATGAAACCAAATAATGGAGAAGCACTTATCACGTAGAAAATAATGCAAGCGAAATTTTTTTTCGAATGGTATCTTATTATCTATATAACTAGAAAAATTGATAGCCATTTCCGTTGTTCTGCGATATGAGTAAAATAAATAAAAGCTTGTAAAATTAGGTAATTGTAGGCCAGTGCAGGTAAACGTAATACTTTCTTTGATAATTGATACTAGTTGCACAATTTTTAAGGCAGCTATCGCCAATGTGCAGGTATGTTGAATGCATCTATTGGAGCAGTTTGCTTATAAATGATAAAAATAATGTCTCAGATGCGCATTTTGGGGTAGGTATCTTAAATGTGCACTTAAGCGTAAGGGCAGCAAAGCAAAATATACTGTATATTTTATAACAGTGAGCCATTGCCAACTTCCTCATGTTGGAACCTAATACTAAGCTTTCCAGCAGTTCAGCGCTTTTTAGGCTTGAGTCATAAGGCTGAAAGCACGAACGCCCAAAAGTTTTGGTGTGCAGTTCTACTCTAACGGTGTGCTCCGTACCAGTCCGCTGTGGAATCGAAAGCAATGAGGTCCCTGGCGAGTTGAAACTAGAATAATCTTTAACTGCCGTTGTAGGACCGGATCCATTTTGTCTCAGTGGATCTTCTTCGAAAGCCATGGTTACTAAGTGGGTACACTCTGAACGCAGTTAATATAGAGGGCCATAGCCAGGTCAGGCTCGGTGGTTACCCCTTCATTAAAAATGCTATTTTTATATTAAAAATAAATTACATTAGGTTACTCTTTGGCACTTAACTGGGCACAAGCGACTACGATTTCATATGCACCGAACATGTTGAAGACGATGAGACCAAGCACTTAACTAACGCCCTAACTACTGTGATAAAGTCATGAAATTCATAAGTATTTTCCTACAGAGTATGTTTGCAGATGAAATACATTCATATTCAAGTTTTATTACGGTCATTATTTGAGTCGTATAATCGAAATGATAAAGAACGAGTAATTTTTATAATAATTAAATCTATTATCTACTCAGATAATAAAGAATATTTTACGAGGATTAAAATAATTATGCATTAGGTAAAGAAAATGAAAAATCAGAGAAAGCCTTATATGTTGTATTAAAGTACATAGGACTCGCAAAGAGCTAAACACGTACAGCATGCAGTGAGTATACATTAGGGTGGTTCAAAAAAAAGTAAAGTCGGAATTTTAATGCTCTCACCCCTAGGATTGTTCTAAATCAAAAAAATAGTTAGAGAGTGTTCAAAACGCTCAAAGTTTTCCATGTATTTTATATGCAAAAAAAAATCAATTTTTCGTAGCAATGCTACAGAATCTTGAAAATCAATAATCGTCGGTCGGAAAACTCTTGTTCTTCTCAGGAGATTTCCAATAATAATACCTAATTGTTTATTTAACCATTGCATTTTTCGGGGTTTTAGGCGGACCTATAAGTCATAGTTACTATGAAAAAATGGTTAAATAAACAAGTGGGTATTATTATTGGGAATCTCCTGCAGAGAAGCATAGTCCGGTCGAAAAATACTGATTCTTAAGAATTCTGTACCATTTGTAGGAAAAATTGTTTTTTTTTTCATATAAAATGCATGGAAAACTTTGAGCGGTGTTTTGGCGTTCATAAGAAAATTGAGTGGGCTTAACATTTTTTTTTAATATTACAAATTTTTACTTAGCTTTTTTATCAACAATTTCTAGAAATAAACATACAACAATTACAAAAAATGAATTTATAGAAAAACCTAGTCTTCAGAAAAAATTTTTTCTAAGGAATATGTAAATTTTTATAAAAAAAATTGGAAAAGGGATAGTCTTTAGAAAAGAGTTTATTTTATAAAAAAAAAACAATTTTTTGGAAGAATGGTAATTAAAAAAAGTTTATAAATAAATATTAGTTAGAAAAAAATATTTTTTTTTATATTCATACTTGTACATGCACATTTGTTAGAAGATCGGAATATGCGCTCTCTGGAAAGCCAATAACTGTAATAATTGTACCATGATTGTAATTGAGACATAATGGAAACTAAATAAAAAAAAAACAAATACAGAAAAGAAACGAAAAAAAAACATTGTATGGGAGTGCATGTACGTACTAGTAAAAGCATAATAAAGTTCTTTCTTTGTAAAAATTGTATGTCTCTATAGTGATCGCTACCTATCCACGTCCGTATAAAATCTATAGGATGTTTTGAAAATCCTCTATAGCGGCATATTTTTTGGTACGCAGTGACTGTTTTATAAATGTATAGAAAACTTGAAAAACTTTACACGCCTGCAAAGGCAGCAAGAGTTAAACTACGAGTAAATGAACAAACCAAATAAATTAAGTCTTGGACTTCAGTTGGCCTTTTGGCTACGTGTGAAGGCACTTTTATTGGAAGTGAATGTAAAATTTAATTTCAAGAATACTAATCTTGAGTTCAAGGAATAAAATTTAGTTACTTACAACAATCACCTATAATTAAGGTATTTTTTTAGCCAGCGGATTTATTTCGCTTTAAAATTTTACTATTTTTTAAGACAATTAAGCATCAAATACTACGAGTAATTACAAATTAAACTTACTGCCAATTTATTTGCATATGCACACATTTGAATGTCAGAAAAAAGTACAATCACATGCTGGTATGTGTGCATACATATGTATGTGTGTATGTTTTTAATACATTCGTACTCGTACGTACTTTTACGTATTTTATTAAAAAAAATGCCGCTTCAATAATATTTTAAATACTGAGGTGATGTCATGCAAGCGAGCGAACCAGATTAAAAGCAAAGCGAGAGTTTACGCAATAGAAAGACATTTAAGCGAAGCTAAGTCAGAAATTTATTCCATATTATTATTGTTTTTTCAGTATTTATAAATAGTTTTCTTTTTGCCTTCGCTTAACTCACAGAGCGGTCAACTTTAGACCCATTAGTCTATTAAGGGGGTCTTTATTACAGTAACAGAAGTTATATCAGCAATTTTTTTTTTAGAATTTTTATGTTTCTTTGTCTGTCTGTATGTTTGTACGCGTATTACTCGCAAACTAAGGCATGGAATCGAATGCGGCTGTCAAATGAAAGAGGTGTGAGAAGGCTTACAGCCGAAAATATTTTTTTTGGAGGTTGCCACATGTTTTGAAATTTTAATTAAATTTAAATGATTCGATAAATTAAATATTGCAATATGGGTATCAAACTGGAGAGATTTAGGAAAGTTTACTGCCGAAAATATTTTTGAGGAGGGTTGCCACCTGTTTTCAGTATTTTACTATAATTTAAGGCTTTCTTTTCTAAGTAATTCGTATCCATGATATATAGTTTAAGAGGCAACCTGGCTGATTTATCAGTATCGTGTAAGCGAAAAGATGGCTTAGAATCGAATTTGTTTAAAATTTTAAAATTTTTAACTACAGTAGTGCTCTATAAAAATTATTACAAATGTATTTAAAATTCTGTAAAATTTATCAAAACTTAATGGTTTCAATTTCACTTTTTTAATTTACGAAACTCATCTAAAAAACCTTTCATTGCTTCAACTCTTCCACGTAATTTCAAGAAAAGTTCAATCAAATGCGAGTAATGACTGACTACTGAAAAGCATAGAGAAATAAAATGCCATCAGGTTGGTACATAAAAAGGACAGCGGATGCTATATATATGCACATACATACCTATAACAAAATGTTAATATTTATCAAACATGCGCCCGTCGCTGCTGTTAGCATTAAATGGTGACCGGCAGAAGGTGACCAGCAACAGCGAAAGATACAAATTTTTATTTTACAGTCGCAAGGGACCCTATGACTCTTTTAGTTTTCTTGTTTTTTGTTTTTATATTCTGACTCTGGCGTCAACGTTGACACAAGTTGTTTGTTGTGGTTGTTGCCCGGACTGTGGTCAATTATCTGCTTCCTCAGGTTCTTAAGTGTGGTGTTCTTTCGCTTTATTTTGGCGCTATTTGCACTTTTCTTTTTGAGTTGGGGTTTTTTGTTTCTGGTTTGGTGGCACTTTAATTTTTTTTATTACTTTTTATATTATTTTTACACCTTTCGATGTCTACTTCGCTCTTTACGAAGTGTTTTCGAGTGCCCGTGTGTGTGTATGTTTCTTAATTTGGTATTCAAACACTCGTTTCTACAATTTGCTTAATGCATTTCGAACCTATTCGTGATTCTTACTTGACCAACAATATTCTTACTTTCTTGTTATTTTCTGCTTTTTTTTTAAGTTTTTTCGTTGTTTGTTATTTCCAGGAAAATGTCGTCAATGAACTTGCTGTGCTGACTCTATACCTATGCCTTCGATGTCTGCCTTCTTGGCCTTTTCGACTCTACGGCGATTTTAGTATTTATTGTATTGAATTTTTGGTTAAGACTTACTTCTTCGTGCTTGCTGCACTTTTTGTGTTCTTGCGGCTTTTTAGCTCACTGTTTCTTGGCTGTGTTAGACACAAAGTTGCAGACAAGTTTGACTTTTGATTTTCGGGTATATTTGCTTCTTCACTAGTCAGCTTTGGCTGGCATAGGTTGTTTTTTTTTGTGTTGTGGATTTTTTTTTTTGGTGGTAGGCAATTAGTATTTCTGGGCACGTCTGCTTTTGGATATATATTTTTTTTTTGTAAGAGACTTTGATGGCGACTTCTGCAACTTAAATGGCGGATAGTTGACAGAATTTTAATCACATCGGTTCATTTTCTTTTTCTTAGCAGTTTTAG